AGACAAACTTTTTATTACCATTTTCGTGAATATGATCACGTTTTCGAAATTGATTTGATCTATTTGTTCGTATTAACTAACAATAAGGCCAAGGTTATAAAAATCAAAATTTCATAAGATTATAACCTTCTTTACAGTTGTCGAGCATAAAATTGTGCATTTCAACGTATTTTCCTTATGTTTGCTAAACCAAAATATGAATGATCATTGGACAGTGTTCGAAGAGGTTCGTATTAATTTATAAAAGTAATAATAAGACATTTCTTCTGATTTTCAACGAACGTTATTGTAATATTTCCCGCGATGTATTGAATAAATAACTCGTCAATGTATCTTTACAATCTGAATAATCGTCAATCCAAAAATTAATGGCCCGTTATTTTCACGGGTTCCGTAAATCAAGTGTTAAACCTTTGCTAACAGTAATATCCAAAAGATATCAAATATCATTCTACCGACAACTTCTGTAGAAATAGTATTAAAATATACCGGCTACACGCAAAAGCATTTGCACAAACAGCACGGACCGTATTGTATTAAGCGTTCATTCACTGGCCAAATCATCCGAGATCCTAATATTCGAAAAGCGACGTGTCTGGAGCTCCTTAGCCTGANAAATACAATCCGCGGCTTTGTTTACGAGTTACTAACGAAAAACACTGACCAATGAGAGACGAGCGCTAGGACTAGCGACCTAGAGGACCGCCTAGCGCTAAGCGACCGAGCCAATCAACGGAACTGGGCTCGGGCTCCTTGCGCCAACTGAGCTTGCTTCTCATTGGCCAGTGTTTTTGCTTAATAACTCGTAAACAAAACCGCGGATTGCATTTTCGCAATCACAGGTAACGATCAGTGCAGTTGTATACGGCGCACGTTATGCACGCGTCAATAATCTCCGAAAATGATTAACACTAGATTTACAGATCACTAAAAGCAGCTGTTTTATATTAGCTTGTAAAAGTAACAATAAGATATTTATTCTGATTTATTAACACATGTATTGAATAAATAACTCGTCAATGTATCTTTACAATCTGAATAATCGTCAATCCAAAAATTAATGGCCCGTTATTTTCACGGGTTCCGTAAATCAAGTGTTAAACCTTTGCTAACAGTAATATCCAAAAGATATCAAATATCATTCTACCGACAACTTCTGTAGAAATAGTATTAAAATATACCGGCTACACGCAAAAGCATTTGCACAAACAGCACGGACCGTATTGTATTAAGCGTTCATTCACTGGCCAAATCATCCGAGATCCTAATATTCGAAAAGCGACGTGTCTGGAGCTCCTTAGCCTGATCAATTCGAGAACGTCCCCAAAATCGCCTAAATTCTCGTCCTCGCAACGCAGGACCGTTTTGCGAGGACTGCGTTTAGGGCACCGAGCGCGCACTGCCACACACATACACAAACAGCCACACATATCCACACATGCACACACTGTCAACTCGCACAGGCATGGAGAGAGTATGCGAAAGAAAAGTTGGACGAGGTGAGGAGGCAGAGTGTCGCCCAGGTGCCCGACCAGCCTTTGCCGAACTCTTCTCCACCTCCTCGATCTGAGCTCGGTCTCTCTCTCTCTCTCTCTCTCTCTCTCTCTCTCTCTTCTCCCATTCTCTCCCATTCTCCGGCATTCTCTGGCATTCTCTCTCTCCAGGGCACGCTCCTGCGGCTGTTTCTTGCTGGCCGGCTCGGTGCCCTCTCAGTCCGTCTTTCTCTCTCCCGCGAGCCTCTTCCTAACCTCCGGGACGACGACGAAGACGACGAGGACGACGACGAGGACGACGAGGACGACGACGAGGACGACGACGACGACGACGACGGGTCCCTCGTCCTTTCCTCTTATCCGTGCCATTGGTCATTAGCGATTGCCGTCCACCGTATCATCAGGTCCCGGCAGTAATGGGACCTCTTACGATCGTGCGGGGCCCAGTGTTCGGTCGCGCGTCATCCGAGGCTCCCCCTGCTCTCGTCCTGCCTTGGTCCTGCCCTCGGCCTGCCCTCGGACCTCCTCCGTCGGCCCGGTGTCACGTGATTTAGCGGATTATGCCGGATCGTCCTCGACCTACCGTTTGTCGGATCCGCGCGGCTGATAACCCGAGGTTCACCGGTCCGAGCCCGGAGAGCCAGTTCGGCTCGTGCCCGGCCCTTGGTGTCCTGTTCTCGGGAGAGGCACGCCGCGCCGAACGGAACCTTCTTCTCTCTCTCGATCGGATCCATCCGATCCATTCGATCCGGTGCCGCGAGTTTTTCTGGCCCGGCCGTTTGTTGGTGACTCGACAGTGTCCCGTGAGTGATCAGGTAGCGAGCACGCGAGACGCGGCTGCCAGTGCTTCTTGCCGAGCCCTTGGTGTCCGGCTCCACGATGCCAGCTCGGCCGCTGGCTTTCTTCTGCTGATTTCTTTCGTGCAAGTGGATCCGAGTGCGACACACACACACACACACACACAGTGCCTTGGTGATATCGGTCGAATAGATCGCCGTGGAATAGATCGGATCGGCGTGGTTCTTTTCTCTTTGTTTTCAAAATCGATTCATCACGCGTCCGGTCGAGCCGGTCGCGCGCGTTGTCCTTGCTTCGTTCGGCCGGTCGTTTCATTTGCATAAACGTCTCGAGGGCTCTCCCGGTTCGTCTAGCTTGTTAACACGGTCAGAGAACAACGCAGTGCTGCGCGCGGACCAGTTTTTCTCGTTAACGAAATCGCCGCGGATCCCTCGGCTAATTGATTGAATCGTCGATGCCGCGATACAGGGGACACCTGTCCGGTCGCGGTGGCTGCTCCGTCTCGGCGTCGATCCGCCGATATCGTTCGCCTCTCGAACGCCTCGCTGACAGTGCATAAATTTCCGCCGCGTGCTGTTTTATCGCGGAACCTTGAGCACGCTCTAAGACGATCCGGCACGCGAAATCCTGGATCCCGGGCTATTCCACGGAGTCCGGTGGGTAACCCGTCGCGGACACGTATTTCTTCGGCACGCTCGGCTGCTATCTCTAGCTTGATAATGAACTCCTCCGACGGATGACATTCCAGTCGCACGTGTCACGGTGATTTAACGACGGCTGACCCAGAAAGGAGATAGCTCTCCGAGAGCCGACTGCTCGGTACAGACGTGATGATCAACGCTCGACCTTGGGCCCGCGAACAATTCAACGAGTTCGAAAGTATTCCCCCGGTTTCCATCGTTCTGCTGTCGCTCGAAAGTGCTCGACCTTAAATCGGCGGTGTTCGATCGACGCATCGATTTGGAAAATAATATTTGATTCCGGCGAGGAACCTCGTCGGTTTTATGGTGTTGCACGGGATCCTGGATTGAATAGTAGGATTTATTGTTGGTGAATATCAGTGATCCTGTAATTTTTGGTGTTTCGTTGCCAGTGTTGATGCTCGCTCCAGCGATCACTTTGTTTAATATTCAATCAGCGCTCGGTAGATCGATCTTCTTTATTGCCACGGTTTCTGGGCTTATGTGTTGTCGAAACAGATTAATGTGTCAATTATCAGTGGGTGTTAATAGTTAATCTTCGAGTCACTTTATTTAATATACAATTAGTGTTCGATCGATCTTCTTTATTAGTATTGTTTCTAGACGTATATATGTTATCTTGGGCATTAATATGTTAATTAACAGTAGATATTAATAGTCGATTTACTAATCCCTTCATTTCTACGGTTTCTTCGGTTATGTGTTATCTTAGAGATTAATATGTTATAATTATCAGTGGGCATTAATATATTTAATCTATCAGTCAGTTTATTTAATTTTGGGTTTATCTTAGAGATTAATGTATTCGCTATCGGTGGGTATTAATATTTAATCTATCAGTCACTTTCTTTGATATTCGATCAAGATTTATCAACGTGTATGTAATCGATAATATTCAGTCTATCGGTCACTTCCTTCAATATGAAATTAATATTCGATCGATCAATCTTCTTTATTTCTATAGACTCGTTACGTATACGTATATATCACTTTGTGTATTAATATATTAATTATCGGTGATTGTTAGTATAATGTTGCTGCATTATACATCACGCATGTATTTTGTAGGAGACGGTTGTTGGTACTGAATCAATGAATCAGTTTTGCTCATAATTACACATAATTTTATACTTCAGTTCGTATATAATCATATTATTGAAATTATTAGTTTTCGAATT